CTGGGGTTCAGCTTGTGCCCGTTACCCTTGTCCTGTCCTGGCCACCACTGAGAGGAGTTTGGCCCCATCCTCCCTACATTCACCCCTCAGGTACATATTGATCAGATCTCCTCTCAGCCTTCTCTTCTCCAGGCTGGACAGGCCCAGCTCGCTTAGTGTTTCTTCATATGAACAAGCTGAACAGCACCAGGGCCAGTACTGACCCCTGAGAGATACAACTGGCCACAGGCCTCCAACTAGACTCGGCCCCGTTTGTCTCCATCTGCCATCCAGCCAGTTCTCAGTCCACCTCCCTGTCCACTCTTCCAACCCACACTTCCTGAGCTTTCCTATGAGGATGTTATGGGATGTTAACTTCTCTGGGCAACCTCTTCCAGTGCTCAGTCACCCTCACAGAGCGGGGCTTTCTTGTGTTCAGGTAGAATTTGCTGTGTGTCAGTTTGTGGCTGTTGCCTCTCGTACTATCACAGGGCACCACTGAGATCATTGCCCAGTCGCCTTTCCTGCCCTCCATGTTGATATATCCGTGGTATATATCTGTGTTCATAAGAACCACCCAGTTCTCCTCCTCCAGGCTAAGCAGGCCTGGAGGCCTCCAGGCCTCCATCAACTTTGTGACCCTTCACTGGACTCGCACCGGTAGCTCCCTGTCTTTCCTGTACGTGGGAGCCCCACGCTCCAGAGGTGGCCTCATAGGTGCTCAATGAATGGGAAGGCTCGCCTCACTCAGCTGGCTGGTTATGCAGTATTTTCTATGAAAAATACGTGTATAATGTTTTGGGCCTTCTCAAAATACATAACTGGAACTTCCTGCACTGCTGTCCAAGCCAAAAAAATCCAGTGTTTTTGTGTCAGAGATCTCATGGGGTATCAGAAAAGTCTTACTGAAGACTTCACAGTCAGGATAGTCACTACCACTATGAGCTGATTTTTTTCTTTTTTTTTGCAGATAGAAAGTAATATCTACATAGAAGACCCTACCTTAGAGGGGATTGAAACTGCTTGTATTGTACAGCACCTCAGAGCAGTGAATAGGAGTTTTTGCCCACTTGCCCCCTTGCAGTAACGGAGTACAAAGTCCTAGTGGTGCTCAACAGCAGAGTCATTAAGTCTATCAGGATCTTTCATCTGCATTTAGATATCTGGCTGTCTCAAGCACTTTTCACTGAAGCATTCTTCTAACCCACATCCTTTAATCCGCTTATGAAATGAAGGAAATTCCACGATTTACCTCTGAACTGATTCAGTAACTGATGTTTTAGCCTTTTTTGCCTTTGTGTTTTTTGTGATTTTTTTTTCTTTCTAATTGGGAATTCAAATTAGAAATCCCTGGGCATTCTGTTGTAATTAATTTCTAGCCAGCTGTCGCTGATCCTGTCTGGAATGCTGAGATTATTTAGCCAGCGTTTAGCTGCATTACTGAAACGGGAGCTGATCCCGAGCGGTGGAGCAAAAGTCAACTGCCTTTGATTTGTTATAAAGCTCTGTAACTCTTGGCTATAGAAATTCAAAGGGCTTTTTGCTATAGAAGGAGGGCAGACAAGATGTACTTGGTGCTATCCAGCCCTCTGTGTCTGCAGACTGGGGTGATGTGAGCTTGCTCAGCACACCCTGGGAGGGCAAAGTAAAGTCCTAGAAGGTGAGCAAATTTCCTGTGCTTCCACATGGACAACACAACAAGTGTTGCCCAGGGAGAAGTTCAGTGCTGCCCTTAGGTAGAAGAAGAGGAGATCCCAAGAGGGAAACCTCTTGGACCAACTGAGGTTTCACAACTGAAGGTCCATAGTGCGTTTATAGCATTTAATTTGCACTTGAGATCCTAAACTGCTTATTGCAGATGTGGACTACAATAAAAAATCAATGTCAATACCTTGATTTGGAGTGCATATGTATCCTGGTAAATTATGTATGGTAACTCTTGTAGTTGCGTGTGAGATGGCGTGCGTGTGGTAGCAGTTCAGGGAATAACCTGAGGCCAAACTAGCATGTTGTGTATCTTGCATCTTTTGACATTTCTGCTGCCTTTTATTTATCTGGCCAATACAAGTAAAAGTTATTTTCCAGGCTCAGAGAGCACCTTAGCAATCTTTTTCTTAAACAATTGACTTTCAGTTCGTCAAAATATACTCTGAACACGTGAAAATATAGAAATAAAGACAGGGTGCTAACGTTTGACATTGCCCAAAAGAAGAAGTGACAGCAAAAGATGTTGGCAGTTCTGCCTTTTTTTTTTCTCCCCACAAATTATATGTTTGTTGCTGCTCTGAGCATGATAGTAAAAGAAATGTAATTTCAGGCATGTAGACCGCACTCAGTTTTCCCCAGCTTTTGCCAGTATTGTAACCGAAACCAGCCAGAGGTGTCTTCATGTGTCCATTATCATAAGGATTTAAAAATCAGCATTGGCTGGATTGGAGGCATGAATTTGTTTAAAAAAAAAAAGAAAGAAAAAAAGTTTTTTGCGAGTTTCATATGAAGATACTGAGGATACTACAACCCCTTGCACAGAGATGTTTGCCTGCTTGAGCACTTAGGAACACCTGGACACACACACTAGATGCTGGTTTTGCTGGAAAAGATGCCGCTCTGAATTTCTGTTGGACTCGCAGTGCAAATAATTACAAACAAATAGCAAAACCTAAGCAGATCAGAACGGATCTCGTGGTTGCTATGGCAACTGCGAGTTTGCTGATGGATTTATTTTTGCCTCCACTGTCTGAATTTTAATGCTCTTGTCTCGGTGACAGTTTACGTCTGAAAATGAAGAGAGCAAAGTGGCAGCTGAGTTGGGTTTATTCCTAGTCTGCCTTTCTCCAGTGGATTTGAAGATACATGTGTCTGTTGAATGTTAGGCTGGGGGTATTGACTGTTAGCATTTGTTTTTTAATGCTGAAGGCTACTGACAGCCCAGGGAACTTCGCGCTCTCCTTCTGATTTTTAAATTCAGTTTCGTCATTTTCATTATTTTCAGTTGCAAGCTCAAAGGAAAATTGCTAGGAAATTTGCTTTTTCCATTCCTAAGGTATAGTAGCAACTTCTCCATTGTAATCTTGAAGCAATAGCGAGAATGACATTTTATAGATTTTAAAACTTTTATCTCTGCATCACATTACTGGAATGCACTTATTATGAGAATAAATCTTTATTATTGTTTATTTACTGTACTTTTCAGGTGCTGCTAAGTCCAGTCCAGCTTCTAAGCCAGGATCAACACCTTCTCGCCCATCTTCAGCAAAAAAAGCTGCACCAAGCAGCTCAGCATCCAAATCAGATAAAGACTTGGAAACTCAAGTCATACAGCTCAGTGAACAGGTAAATTTGCTTTAGGCATAAAATTAGATTCATTCATCGTCAGAGAAAGGCATGAAATCTAATATTGCCCTTTGCTGAATGATATTCTCCAAAGTCATGAAAGTACAAAAGAATGAAATAGCTGGAAAGAAGAAAAAGTGGTTTATTGGTAAGAATAGCATATGAGAGGCACGACTGCTGTCATACCAGTGTTTTTAAAAGGTGATCTTGTGAATGATGGTTGAGTCTTCCTGAGGTCTGAGAGATTTATAAAGTTACTTTTATCTAACTACTTAACTGAAAAGGTTTCAAGAGGAATTAATCTCCCCCACCGTGTTTATGAATTAAAAGAAAAATTATCGGTATTGTGTTGCATATATTGGATTTGAAAGGTGTCCTCTGTTTTATTTGGCAGTAAAATCCCAGTACTGTCTTTGTTCTTATGTATTACAAATCGTTTAATGTGTCTTTGTGGAGAAAACCAAAGTGTTAGTAATATTTGGGAGTTAGAGATTGGCAGTTGAATTGGTCAATGCAGGCAGCTTTCTGAAGGAGGGCGTTAATGTGCCTTTTGATTTTAAAATGTGATTTACCTTTGTGAAAATGCTTAATTACATTATAAAACTCTGGATATAATAATATTCTGCAATGCAATTAATAAGAATTCAAACTTTCTTCATTATTAGGCAGGTGAGGGCTTAGTTTTCATGTATGCTGTGGAATTTTTGTACCACCTTGTCGCTCAGAGAGGCTCTACATTAGATATTGACATCTGACTCAACACGGTGCTGTCGGATTGCAGATTTCTTGGGTACTGTTGCATACTTAAGCTGGTAGATGGATAACCACATCCAAAACATGAAGTGTTAATGGAATTAGGGTATGATTCTGAGCAGCAGAGAGCACAACAGGGTCCCCAATGTAAACTGGTGGCTGGTTAACCACATCCAAAACATGAAATTAGGGTATGATTCTGGGCAGCAGAGAGCACAACAGGGTCCCCAACCTTGTGAAGAGCTCTTAAAATGTTTTAAAATATTCTACAAGCAATGGATGTATATATTTCTGACAGGATCTTCTTTTGTCATTGTAAGAGTGAAGCCTGGAGGTCAGCTTGACATAGCTCAGATCATGACGTTTGTACTTGGGAGTCCCAGTGTGTTCCCTTCAGCAGGTAGCATTGGTTGGTGTGTGAGCAATGGTGGCAATTTGGGGTTTCTGGTGAAATCCAAAACAGTGGGCACTCTTGTAGTCACTGCTAACAGAGTCCTACGAAGTTCCATTTGTAAAGACTTGCAGCATTATATACAAATAATCCTAAGGAAAACCAAAGAATTCCCCCACCTTGGAGAAGAAATTGTGAGGAAAGCTGGAAAGCTGGGGTTTTAATAGCTAGTTCTTCAGAGCTCGCTTTAGGTTAGCATGGTTTGGGAGGCCTTTTCTTCTGTGCTGGCATGCTTGGAATGTTATTCCCACTAATGATTACTTGTGCTCCCAGGGTATATACTAAGAGCCAACAAGCCATCCTTCCAGCAGCCTGGAGCCAGCCTTCTGTGCCTCCCTGGGAAGAGCAGGATTGCCTGTTTTTAGCACTTGCCAGCAGCCTGAGGAGGTGAGGGCAGCAGGCAGGTTTGCCCCTTTGCTGTCTACGTTAGCAGTCCTGGGTTATCGTATTCCTCAGTGGCTGTAAAAGATTTTTCAGCTTTTTCCTCGTGGCAGCTAAGAGAGATGGGAAGCTGTAAACTCATGGGTAACTCGCAGTGGAAGGTTTTGCTGAGCGGAGCTGTCCGCTCGCTGCGTTGGAGCGCAGTGTCGCTCTATGAGCTATTTGCAATGATATCTATTAGCTTAATGGTGTCCAACAGGCTGAAAGTTTCTCTTAAAGTGCTCTTAGCTATTGCTCTGGGCAATG